TTTGGGACATTCTTCAGTTAGGCCGGTTTTATTGTTTTTTTTATTATTTATTTTAAATGGTAATGGTGATCATCACAAAAATTTCCAAAAATCGTTATGGAGTTATTAAAAAGTCAAGATATTCGTTACACAATTAAATGTCAGTTTTTTTATAGTTCTAATGTCAGCAATTTATATCTGACCGAATATTCTTAACACCTTACGATTACACAAAAACAAACATTTACACTTAACAAAAACCAAAAATTAAACCTTTGCTTTCCATCAAAGAAAATAATCAAAACTGAGTTATAAAACTTCAGAGTTCTATATAGAGTTTCTATTCGAATAAGATTCTGTATTACGAATAGAAACTGTAGTTCTATACCATTCTAATAACCAAATGGTCAGTTGAACCTCACTGTTTAATTACTGACCAACTGCAAAAGTGTTTTTATTAAACATAAAGAATTAATCTGTAAAAGTGTTTATTACAAAAATGAATTAATTAACAAGCAAAACTCTGAAATGTTAAATAATTAAATTAGTTAAGTAGTTACTAATTAATAGTGGTAATTTCTGCTTGGTCAAAATATAAGTGCCGGCCAACCATATTGCTAACATGTGATCCAATATCTTCCGTCTGAAGAAACCAGAAATATAATCATTCTTGAAAAAGCCAGGTTATACCGCAATCAAAGAAACTCGGGGCATTATATACCATACTCAGCATGTACTTAGGAAGAACTTTTAGAAAGAGAACAACGAAGGAATAATATTTTAAAGTATTCATAGGTTTTCTATGAAGATAGATGATATTAGTTGAATGATGATTAATTTCACCATCATTTGAAACATGTATCATCCATTCGTCTTTTAATTATATTTATTATTTCAGAATTAAGTACAAGTTCGTAATGTGGTCCACCTCTGACATTATCTATTCCATATTCTTTCATATATTCAAGAGTTTTTGCAAATTTTAAACGTCTATTAGTGATTGAAATTTCATCTTTAATATCTTCAATTGGAGGGTGTAATTGTGTCCATTTTGATGCTTCTCCATTTTTATGTTGTTTTGATTTCATTTTAAGGTTTATTGTTTTTCCTACATAATATTTTCCATTTTCACATTTTAAAACATAAACGTAAAACTTTTTTTTTTATTTAAAAAATTAATAAAAAATAAAATAAAATTTTTATTAAAAAAAAAAGAATGAAAAACAAAAAACACAAATAGAAAAATAAATATATAATTAAATGAATAGATTATCAAGTAAAATACAACATTTAATGTATCATATTTAAATAAAATAAATGACAATTATATTTTTAATTGATTAATGGATTCATGTATTGCTTCTTTTAATTTTTTATAATCTTCTTTACTCAATAATTCATGTTTTAAATCTCTAAATTCTTGTTCTAATTTATGTTCTTTAAAATATTCATGAAGAATATCATATTTGAATATGTTTTTTAATTCTCTTGTTTTCTTTTCAAACATGATAATATAATGATCTTCATCAATAATACGTTTATATTTGTTTTCATTCTGATATTGAAGAATGAATGATGACAGATAATAATCTAAATCACGACAATTAAATTGTTGTAATAATTCTTTTTTGTTCTCTATTGAATCTTCGTAAAATTCATTTTTATTTATTTTATAAATTTTATTTTTATATAATAAAATATTATCCATATTATGAACCACTTTAAAATTTTGAGAAATGGATACAAGATTTGCTTCTTCTCTTATCAAATCCGATAAATTTTTACCAGTTTTAAATTCCTGATATATTTCATATATATCATTAACTTGACCATTATATTTTTTTCTACCAGATTCATAAGGTCCTTGTATATGGGTATTGTATTTATTAGAATATATACCACATTTATACACAATCAATTGCTTGGTTTTGTGTAGCACTTCGTTTTTCAATATGTAATTGACTTTTAAAAAAAGATTTCGGTTTTGAGTTAATTCAAGATAACCTTGAATATGTTCAGTATTATTTTCATTTCCTCATTCATATGAGAATACAACATATTTAAATTTATTCATTTGTAAAAATTTATTCATTACTACATTATGATCATCATCATAAAGCAAATAATTTTTATTAATGGTAAAAACCCAATTAGATGATAGGTCTTTTTTATTATTTTTATTATTATTTTCTTTTGGCATTTTTTTTATTTATTTTATTTTATCGTTTTATTTTTATTTTTTTATTTTAATTTTATCTTTTTATTTTTGTTTTAAAATTATATCAGAAATAAAAATCCACAAGTTATATGGGGCATGCTGCAACAAAACCAGACAAAGTGAACATTGGTATTACCAAAGATTTCAAGGATCAAAATTTGTAATGTGATTATAATTTGTTATCTTAAGTGATATATAGAATTAACCCTATATAAAAATAGTTAATATGAAACTCATTTACATCAGATCTACTATGGAACCAAAGAATTATAGTACCATCAGAAGTATTCTGAAGAAAGAACAAGGTGAAAAAATTGCTTCTTATATTTTTAAAATAAATGATACTCAAACACTTGAAGCTTATCTAAGAAAAGAAAAGATTACTTATGAAATTTACCAAGAAGAAAGAAAAATAATAAATGTTGGAAAAAGAAAGCAGTATGAAGATGCATTATTACCTAACAAAAAGCCAAAATCCTTAAAAGGAAAATAACTTGTTTTCTTTGATAGTTGGAATGAATTTCATTTATATTAGAGGAAAATACTTCCTCAATCCTCTTTAAATTACTTTCTTATTTTCAATCAAGGTCATTTTTTAACTTCAATTTGAGCAGTTTGTTGGGTCTGCTGTTTTCTTAGTCATTCAACCTCAGTTTCAAGTCTTTGAACTTTATCTAATAATTCTTGCCTTTGCTTACTATGCCAATCTTTTGAAACTTCTAAGGCTTCCAAATGAGAACTGATTTCTTCCTTAGCACTGGATAGTTGCTGTTTTAAGTCTTTATTTTGCTGTTCTAATCTACCAACATAACTCTGTGCCATTATTTCTGTTATTGTTGGAGTTTTAACTGGTTCATCTTTCCTTAAATCACAGAAACAATCTATTCTGTTTCTCATAATTTGACCACAATCACTACAATGTGATAGAGTATCATCATCAAGAGCTTTTTTACACTCTATACAGATATAAGCAATATCATTGTAATTATTACTACTTCTATTGTAAGATACTATTTTGTAAGTAGCAGTCAGACTTCTTTCTCTTTCAAAAGGGCAGAAGTTACAATTCCATTTATCCTCTCTCCTTAACTCATTAACTTGGTATTCTAATTTCATACTATTTGTTCTTTTGTAAGATATAGGCATTAAATTTTTCTCTAGTTATTTCTTTTAATTGACTAGTTTTTTTCTTTAGTTTATTGGTTAGGAGTTTAAATTTGTTTTCTTTCCTTGGTAAAACTGCTAGTTCTTGAAGTTGCTTGACTGCTAAATAATTCTGCCATGCCACTGTGTTTTCTAGCAGTTCTATTTTTCTCAAAGCTTTTTCTAAGTTGTCATCTTTTTCCTTGCTTTGTCTTACTCTCCATTGTCTAGCTACTTCAAGAGCCTCTAAATGACATTCAGATGTTTCCTCTTCTAGTTCTAATGCTTCTCCAACTCTTGATTAGTTTGCTGTAACTCAACAACCTTTTTTTCTAGAAGAGCATTCTTTTCTTTTAATTCTTCTTTTTCTTGATAAGTAAAACCAAAAGCTTCTTCATAATTTAATGCTTCATGACCAAAACTTTTAACAATGTTTTCAGGAGTGAATTTATCACTGAAAACAACTCTTCCAATTTCAATTCCATTCTTTTCTGGATAACTTACTCAACCATTGTTAGGTCAAGTAAATCTTTCTAAGGTTCTTAAACTTGTTCCAGTATATTCTGAACTTTCAGTAAGGCTGTGAACAGCATTTCAAGTTCTTAATTTAAAGTTTTCTTCTTTTTCAGCTAATTGCTTCTTCAATAATTCTATTTCATTTATTAGTGTTTTGTTTGATTGTTGTTGTTTGTTTATGATGTTTGTCATGATTTTCTTGTTTGTTCCTTTTTTATTTATTCTTTTAATATATATGCTATACTTATATTCTTTTTATGATGATATATTAAGTATACTTTAAAGGTGGAAAAAGCTAAACTTATTAAACTTAATGACAGTAAGGGGACAAATTGACAAGTATGATAAAGTAATGAAGGCGTTTTTGTCTAAATATTTTATTTGTTGCCAGTATAGAATGGCCTTGGGCAAGTAATATCTTTAAATTCATCCTTTACAAATGAGCAAATATTATGATAAAGATATTCTTGCCTTTTGTAATCCAAAGGAGGTGGTGTTAACACTAAAATAGATAAAGCTTTAATCTCTTCAAAAATGTCTGATTTCTTGGTTTTCAATAAATTGAACTCAGCAAAAGGTCCATTAGCAATTTCCTGAGCTTTGACCATACCAAGATTAGTTGCTTCAAAAAGAAAATGTTGATATTTCT